TAAAAAATATTTTTATGTGTATGAGTGTTGTGCCTGCGTGTAGGTAAGGGCACCCGTGTCGTGCAATGCCTGCGGAGGACAGAAGAGGCTGTCCGGTTCCCTGGAACTGGAGTTACAGTTGGTAGCTGTCATGTGGGTGTGGGTTTTGAACCGGCGTCTTCTGCAAGAACAGTCAGTGTTCTCAACCGCTGAGCCATATCTCCAACCCTGGCATCTATGTTCTAATGCTTGATTCTATCTTAACACTCACTTATTTGCTGTGCGAATGTGGCTTACTCCGTTTCCCTGTGTCCTCATGGATGTATTTATTCATCTTTCTCTTCAGCATGTAGAATTCCTTGAAGTATGTTGTGTAGGCCTGGATTACTGGCCACGGAAGGTTGCTTTTTCTCCTTTAGTCAAGAAGTATAGAATTACAATCAATTCTGTGATTGATTTCAGAACTTGAAATAAATTGTTCTTTACCATCCTTGCCACTAGGCTGTCTGTTGAGAAATCTGCTCTTATTCGGATTGGTTTCCCATCATAAGTTGGTGCTTCTCTCTTTTCAGTCTCCTTTGTTCTGTAAAATTACTTTTTAACCATAAGAGGAAATGGGGGGGTTCTATTAGGTTCTTATCTATTTGTCATTCATAATGCCTCTTGATCTTGATGGGGAAGAAAAGTAGTTGGCAAAGACATTAAAAAAGAAACCCCTGAATATCATCAAATCTATTCAAGATCTATAACGGTGTTAGCTCTTCCATGAGTCTGATAATGATCTTGAATTCCTAATCCTCTTGCCTCCAAATACCTAGTGCTGCTGTTCAGTAGTGTTCACCCACAGTGGTTCTATTTTTTCCAAACTAGTTTGGATTTTTTTCACCATCAGTAGTGAAAATCTAACCCAAGACTTGCATGGTCTAGAAACTGATATGTCACTGAGCTTCTGATTCCAACCTGATTGCTAATTGTGTACTTGATGGGTATAATTGTATAGCACAGGCTAGTCTAGAACTCATGATCCTCTTGTATCCACCTTTCATGTTCTGGGATTGCAGGTATAAATCACCAATCCTAGCCCCTTATAAGACTAGGAGCCTTGCAATGGATTAATAAAACAATGGATTGCAATGGATTCTAGAACAGTATTGAGTAGAAGAGTGTGTAATACAGATAGTCTTATTCTGTACTTTTCAATTTATGCTGCAAAAAAATCCTAAATGTTAAGTGCCATTGACTGATTGTGAGACACATGAAGGGGTGTGTGCTAAGCATTGTTAAAGCACTGTCAAAACCACCATTACAGTGAATGGCAAGTTCTTTGATGTTCTTATGAACACTCTTCTGAGCCTTATTTTTTCATAGTCAAGCAAAGACATTGGGACAATTTGACCCCATAATTGGCATTTGTTAGATTCTCCCTTGATGATGACTCTCCCTTGATAACCTGCATGCCTAGTTCTCTCTGTGAGTTGGTTTATAGACTTTCCTTTATGCTAGGTGATTTAACATTTGTGCTCATAAAAAATGTTAAATTTCTTCATGTTCTTAAAACATTGTGAACAGAAATTTCTAAGGCCAAGCAGGCTGTTGCATGCTAATTTACCTCTGTTCTGTACCTCAGGTGGTCAGACTTTATTAAGACAGGAAGTAGACATGTGTTGTAGAAAGAATTGAGACAGAGCAGCAATGTCCCTCCAGTGCTCTGTCCTTTCAGAACAACTCAAAACTTGCATTAGAACTTCTGTGTCATGGAACAAAATCTGTGATGTACGGAGTTGTATGAACACATTATCAATTGAGTCTATGGAATGTTTAGGATTCTGTGACATTTGAGGATGTTGCCGTGACCTTCACCCAGGAAGAGTGGGCTTTGCTGGAACCTTCGCAGAAGAATCTCTACAGAGATGTGATGCTGGAAACCTGCAGGAACTTCACTTTTATAGGTAAGAATACCATTTTACATTACCTTAGTATATTAAGGAACACATGTGTTTTGGTATTGATGTTCTGTGATTTAGAATAATATAAAGGAAGAGCATGATGTATAAATCTGGCATTATTCATATACACTAAATGACAAACTAATGTTTCAGGAATTCTAATTCATCATAAATTTTCCTTGACTACATTTTAGGAAACAAATGTGAAGATGAGAATATTGAAGACCATTATAAAAGTTGTGGGAAAATCTAAGGTAATTAAAAAAATAGAGCAAAGTTCCTTTGAAGGAATTTTAAAAACATTTATTATTTATTTTTGTGTGTGTGTGTTTGCAAAGCTGCATGCAAGTGGTAAGGAGGCCAGAAGGGGGTGTTGGACTCATGGAGCTGGAATTACAAGAGGTTGTGAGCTACCTGTCTTGGATACTGGCAGCCAAACTCTGGTCCTCTGGTAGAGCAGCTGTTATGCTTAACATCTGACCCATCTCTCCAGCTCCCCATTGAAGGTATTTAGCATGAGCATTTGTGGATAAATAAACAGAAGAAATAAGGATGACTTTATTTACTTTTTTTGTCTTACTGAGACAGGATCTCCCTGTAGCCCCAGCTGGCCTGGCACTCACAGAGATCTGCCTGCCTCTGCCTGCTGAGCACTGGGATTAAATGCATGTGCCACCACGTCAGGCTTTTAGTTACTTTTATCATTAGGAAATGTAACATGTACCTCAATTTAAGAATGCTATTCAGGGTTTGCACGGCATTTCATTTGCAAACAGTACTAGGAACTCAGGTTAACAAATCAGGTTAACTCAAGTTAACTCTTATCAAAGCTTTGTGGGAACCATAGTGTAGAATTTTCTTTTTTTAAAAAAAATAATGTTATTATTATTTTCTGTATATGAGTGTATTGCCTATGTGAATGTAAGTACCCCCATGTCATGCAGTGCCCACGGAGGTCAGAAGAGGGCATTGTATTTCCTGGAACTGGTGTTATGGATGATTGTTAGCTACCATGTGGGTGCTGGGAACCAAACTTGCGTCCTTTTTTCCCAAGCAACCAGTGCTCTTAATCACTGAGCCATCTCTCCAGCCCCTAGAATTTTCAGTCTATTTAGTTTCAAACCATTCAAATATGGCAGAAAATGTATATCTGATTTTGGCAACAGTGTATGACCTACACTTTGTAATAAATTGAGTTTTAATATGTTTGTTGTTTTTACAGAAGTTCTGTGTTTGAAACACTCTATGAGCATAAGATCTTCTGGATGGAGAACCTTTCACATGGGTAGCAAACGCCAGTATGAGCATGACATGTTCTTCCAACGTAACCCCATGTGAAAGCAATGTGTGTGGGAAGGTTTCCATGTGTCATTCACTCTTCCATAACCATCCTACCTCTCACTCTCAGTACAAACCATGTGAGCATGAGGAGTATGGAAACAAGCCCCAGAACTCTAACTCTCTCACAAGCTGTCAAAGACATATGAGAACTCACACTGTGAATGGACCTTTTGAAAATAAGACATGCTTAAATTATTTAGATTTTCCAGGATCATTGGTAATACATCAAGAGTCAGACAGTGCAAAAAATCACGACCAAGTATACAGAAAGTCTTCTCCTTATGGAAGTTCGCTTCACACTTATGAAGAAATTCAAATTGTAAGAATATATGACCAATGTAATATAGGTGAGGAACATTTGAGTTCTACTTCTCTTCAAGGACATGAAAGAATTCATAATGGCGAAAAACCCTATGAATGTAAACAGTGTGGTAAAGCATTTGGATTTCTTAGTTCTTTATATTTACATGAAAAAAATCCATACTGGAGGAATACCATATGAATATGAACACTGCCATAAAGCCTTTACATATCTTAGTCATCTTCAAAGACATAAAAGAACACATAATGGAGAGAAAACATATGATTGTAGGCAGTGTGATAAAACTTTTACACAGCACAGTCATCTTGAAAAACGTGAAAAAATTCATACCGGAGAAAAACCCTATGAATGTGAACAGTGTGGTAAAACCTTTTCAGGTAATAGTGATCTTCTGAGACGTAAAAAAATTCATATTAGTGAAAAGCCCTGCAAATGTACACAGTGTGGTAAAGCCTTTAGATGTCACAGTCATCTTCAAAGACATGAAAAAATTCATACTGGAGAAAAACACTCTGAAGGTTCACAGTGTGGTAAGACCTTTACACTCAGCAGTAGTTTAAAATTACATAAAAAAAATTCATAGTGGAGAGAAACCCTATGAATGTAGCCATTGTGGTAAAGCCTTTAGAATTCACAGTTGTCTTCAGTTACATGAAAAAATTCATACTGGAGAAAAACCCTATGAATGCAAAAAGTTTGGTAAAGCCTTTAGACGTCACAATAATCTTAAATTGCATGACAGTGTTCATACTGGAGAAAAACCCCATGAATGTACACAGTGTGGGAAAGCCTTTAGATGGCACAAGGATCTTCAATTACATGAAAAAATTCATACTGGAGAAAAATCACATTAATGCAAACAGTGCGGTAAAGCCTTTAGGTGTCACAGTGATCTTCAAAGACATGAAATAATTCATACTGGAGAAAAACCCTATGAGTGTACACAATGTGG